GTGTGTGAGAGAGAGAGAGAGAGAGAGAGAGAGAGAGAGAGAGAGAGAGAGAGAGAGAGAGAGAGAGGTGCAGCCGTGTGGCATTAAACCACACTTGACCATCTGCTCCCCCCTTACCTTGTTGAAGGGGAGAGAGAGAGAGAGGTGCAGCCATGTGGCATTGAAACGCACTCGACCATCTGCTCCCCCCTTGCCTTGTTGAAGGGGGGAGAGAGAGAGAGAGACAGACACAGAGAGAGAGAGAGAGAGAGAGAGAGAGAGAGAGAGAGAGAGGTGCAGACGTGTGGCATTAAAAGACACTCGACCATCTGCTCCCCCCTTACCTTGTTGAAGAGGAGAGAGAGAGAGAGAGAGAGAGAGAGAGAGAGAGAGAGAGAGAGAGAGAGAGAGAGAGAGAGAGAGGGAGAGGGGGAGACAGAGAGAGAGAGAGAGGTGCAGCTGTGTGGCATGCCACGGCCTGTGTAGTTTGTTTTTTTTCGGTGTCATTTTAAATTTATAATTGTGTGCCTATAATTGACATTTTTGACCCAGACTTTGTCTTAGATAATTTGCATTTTTTCCCCGATTCATTTGTCATTGTCGTTTCTGTTCCCTGTCTGCTAAGAATATTACCATCATGAAATTTGTTTTTTGGCTTTTGCGTTGAATGCAGGCATATGCCCTTCTCAATGAATATGTGGCGAAGGAAGACCCCATCATCAGGATAGGGGCGATTTTTGGACTAGGTCTTTCCTATGCAGGCTGTGGAAATGAAGATGTGAGTTCAGCAGTTCAAGCTTTCAAAGATACACGCCACACAACGTTCCATTTTGAACGCTCGCAGACTGCACATCATGCCAAGATGGTTTATGGATTGAATAAGGCTAAACCATCTTGGCACAAAGTTCCTCTTCTCCTCCTTCCCTCACCCCTTCTCCATCTGTCCAGCTCGCTTGTTTCCTTGCCCTTGCATGTCCATTCCTCTGCCCCTTGCCCCTTCTGTCCCCTCTTTTGCTGTAGTTGTATGCTTTCTCCATCTCTCTCCCATTACATTATATGCATAATATATGGCTATTTTCGGTCTTTGCTGTTTTACCTCTTTCTCTACCGCTGTGGTTTGGGCCAGTGCCCTCTGTGTGGTGAATGAGTTTGCTTGGTGAGTGGGACTGGAACGTAAGGGAAGGTGTGAAGTTGAGCATGCGTATCTTTGATGGCATAATGGGGATCTTGAGGTTCCGTGGTTGCTGCAGCTTGTTTTCAACCTGAGTAGCACGGCGAACGTGTTCGGGCGAACATAATTTTTTTTTCGTAAAACAAATATATATATATTTGTCACAGCCCCTCGTTTGTTGTCCTCTTCTCCCTCTCTGCCTACGGTTTACCGGGCAGTTCTATTTGACGATATATAACAGCCCCTCGTTTGTTGTCCTCTTCTCCCTCTCTGCCTACGGTTTACCGGGCAGTTCTATTTGACGATATATATATAGGCTACCAGCCGGGCCGCCCGGGTCCTGGGTGGCCAACCCGTGCAAGGACCAGGGAAGGTCCCAGCTCAAAAAAAAAAAAAAAATCCAAAAAATCCGAAAAAAACTATGTTATGCAGAAAAATAAACTGAACAGTTTTTGCCTCAGGGTCACATTGAAACTCTGCGCCAAATTTAGAATAAAAAATAGAATTTGATTTTTTTATTGTAATTTTTATTTTTTAATTGTTTTTGGCCCGGCCGGGCAAGTGTCCCCGGGCCACGCTGGTAGCCTATATATATATATTTTTTTTCGGTTTTTGATTTCCAACTCACGTTTGACTAAGAATTCGAACATGACTCCAAGGCAAAAGGTGCTTGTATTGTTGTTTTACATGACATATATATTTTTTCAGATTTTTCTGAGATTTTTTTATTTTATTTTCGCGTATGGAGGGTTTTGGGCGCTCGTTCGCGTTCGGGCGTCATGTTTGCCTCGGAACACGAACACGATGCTAAGCAAACTTTTAATGAGTATTTCTGGATTATTTTGGCATGGCGTGGTGCGTGAGCAGGTCCTCAAGCTGTTGGTACCAGTTGTGACCGAGTCGAGAGCTGGAATGGATGTGGTTGGTTTTTCTGCCGTCGCTTTAGGGATGGTATTTGTTGGCACGTGCAATCAAGAAGTTGCAGAAGTTATATTGCAGGCATTAATGGAGCGCTCAGAGGCAGAGCTTGGCGAGCCAATGGCACGCATGCTCTGCTTGGGGCTGGGGCTGCTTTTCCTGGGCACACAGGTAAGCAGTGCCAATCGACTTCCTGGTGCCTAATCTGTGTACCAGTATGTACAAATTACACACATTGTGTACTCGCCAGCAGGCTTTCCATCATACATGTGACCGTAGTTACAATGACTTCCAGTCGTAGAAGTCATATGATCCTGGGTATGCAGTTTGGAGCACCATGCCCAATTGAAGAACCTTCGTCCACACCTTGCGGATGGAGCAGTGAGCGGAAAAGAAACGATCACACCAGGCAGATGTGCTCCTATTTCTGTTGAAGCGTGGAAAACTAAAACAGACCGAAACAGAATCAGGGTGAAAAACCCTTAGTGGGCATCCACTAAGATTGGAACGATACGAGGAAGACTAGGTGACAATTTTTTTTAACGGTCAAAATTTTTCCCTTTTCGTTCTCCAAAAGAAAAATGATAATTGGGATTGGCTGTGCCCAACTGTGTATCATCAAGTTAAAGCATACTTGTGGCGCACCTTTGCGGTGCGCTATGCGGTGCGCATTACGCTGATGCGCGAAGGCGTGATGCATGCGCGCCACGTGTCACCGTGGACGAAACGCACACAGGTGCAGGACGCTGGTCGTGCACAATGCATCCGAGCACATGCAGTTTTTCCTTTTTTTGTGCGTGTGCGGGGGGGCGGGGCCTCACCTCTGTCCTGGGAAGGCAGTCGTGTCACCCTATCTCGAAGTCGTCCTCGCTCATGGGAGGCCCAAATGAGGGTTCACGGTGTTCACGCCCTTAATGGTGTTCGAAGCTTACCTCCAGCAAGACTGTATCACGCCGGAAATGTCTCTGGTCAGGGTTGTCTAATGTATATAAGAGAGGTTTGCGGTCAAATACAGTCATGATGGGGTGCATGCCCCTGCATGCTTTCTTATTTTTTTCTCTTTCTTTTTTTTTTTTTTTTCTACGTACACAAGGGCCGCGACAGAGGACACACCAGGCCTTTTTTCCCGAGAGCAGAGAGCACCCTCATCATGACTGTATCTGCCTGACAATGTACTCATTTGAGAAGAGTGCATACTCACACCAGGCCTGTTTCTACGTAGCTGTGGACGTGATTGCAGTCATATTCATCCAGGTCTGGCCATAATTTCAGTCTTATACGTTTAAAGTTCCAGTGTGATTATGCGCTAATACGAAGGGACGTTCTGTTCTTGAAGTGGCATTTCTGTTTTTCTTCCTTCATGACAAAGATAGCACTTTCTTATTTTGAAAAGGAATGACAATACGTTTGTGGCAAATTCTCATCCTTTTGGTGAAGATAAAGTGTAGTATCTTGTTCTGAATCTTCTGGTCAGTTTAACATCTGATCTGTGGTCAATCAGACGTTAAAAAAAAAAAAAAAAAAAAAAAAAAAAGGAATGACCAAAAAAAAAGGGAATGAGGCCTGACGTTTCAGCCCCAATCATGACGAGGGAGCATGGTGCCGTTTTTTATTTTTCTCTCTTTCGTTTTTCTCTTTGTACACAATGGCCACCTGCGAGAGCAGAGAGCACCCCATCATGACTGTACCCGACCTGGAAACGTTCCTGCATACGTTCGAGAACAGTGATGCCCCCTCATCAGAGTTCAGGAGTTTGTGAGGCGGTGTCGTGTCCACAAATGAACGTAAGTGATGTTTCAGGGTCGATACAGTCCTGAGAGCAGAAGCATCCCGCTGTTGAGCAAGAAAAATTGCTCGCAGCTGTTTAGATTGTCTTTGGTGCAGGGGTGAGAGGTGGCACCATCCCCTATACTTGCCTTTGTTTTTGTAACGGTGTAACCCA